CCCTAAACCCCTGAACCCTAAAGCTGAAGGTTGAAGGAGGTACTGTTCAAGTCCGCGGAGACGCTGGCAGTGTCGCCGCAGGAGCCTGCAGCTGTGGGGTCTAGTGTTTCGACCTAAAGGGTCATGGGACTGAGTAGTGAGGTTATGTAGAAACGCTTGGTAAATTATATAATTATAGTATAGTTTACTATTATAGTATTTTACAGTATATTACCATAGTATAGTAAAATATATTATTAGTTGTTATTCTAGTATATTATACAGTATGTTATATTATAGTCGCAGTGACCGCGCAGAGGTATCATTCGCCCCATCGGGGCAATGCCGACAAGCGTGTACGTTACTTCTTAGCAGCCGGAGATGACGGCATCTGCCCTAAACCCTAAAACCCTAAACCCTAAACCCTCTAAACCCTAAACCCTGAAACCCTAAACCCTATAAACCCTAAACCCTATAAACCCTAAACCCTATAAACCCTAAACCCTATAGGCCCTAACTCCTATAAACCCTAAACCGGCAGGACGTCCGATTCCACAAGTGGGAGTCTGCGAAGGGGGGCCTCGGCGTGTTCTTTTTTCTCGAGGCTGGGGGCCGGACTTGGAGTCCAGGAAGTTCCGGGGTGAGTTTGTTTGGTTGATTCATTTACCATAACATACGATAATATGCTATATATATATAATATATATAATATAATAGACTACAATATACTATAATACACTATAATATACTATATAATATGCTATATATAACATACTATAATATACTATAGTCTATCATAGTATATAGTAGTTTATTACATGTTAGATTTTCTATTGATGGTTTCTGGAAGAGGGCTGGGAAGTCGTGCACGCCAAGATTCCTTCACCAGATCTGCCATTCGCAGGTGGAGAACCCTTTCGTACAGCACGACGAGCCAGAAGAGTGGCAGACCCCTTGGCTGTCAGGGTTGAGAGGATTTGGCGTTTGGGGTTTAGAGTATTGGGGCTATTTGTGTATAGAGTTTTACAGTATCATGCAGAGTTGAGACACCGATTGAGGCTGTACCCTGTGACCGAGGTTTAGCATCGATGACTGGTTTGCTTCGCTTCCTGTTCCTGTGGACGAGATTCGAATCATGACGCAGTCCCAGCGAAGAGCTCAGCCCAGTAACACGGCGATTGTGACTTCTTCCTCTGGCTGTGTCACAAGTACCTGCAGCAAACCCAGAACCCTAAACTTAAACCTGTAACCCTAGACCCCTAAAGCCTAGACCCCACAATCCCAGACCCGAAACCCAAAGAACCATCGCCGCTGAGGCTTTACCCTCCCGGTCCACAGCCGGCGCCGACCCCTTTCCTGGACCCTTGGCTGCCGGGCACCTGGGTAGCCAGTTGTAGAAGCAGCCGTGGAGACCAGTAATATAGAAGCATAGAAAATTACCAATAGTATTTTTGGGGTTCCTTATTACAAGTATAGTATAATGGGTCCCAAAACCCTATTCTAATCATTAAGGCCCCTACATTAGCTCAAGCATCCTAGATACTGAGCCCCGTACACCATCTTGCTTGGCAGAATTCTCTAAGTAGTTTTACAAGTTTGGAGTTGGAGCTTATGTAACTAAGTAACTGAGCAGTAGAATTATTAAGTCGAAAGAGCTTGAAAGTAGATCACAAGTAGTAGTCGTCATCCTTCCACTACTCCTGCTGTCGTGCTTGTGCTTGTCGTTGGCTCCGGTCTTCTCCCGAACCCCGGACGAGGTGGGTTCCGCACGTAAGATCCGTGATCCTAACCCTTCAAGCCACGAACCTGGTAAATCAAAAACCAGCCCTGTGAAGCTTGAACCTCATACATGCTCAGTCTTGTGGGTCTTAAACCCTAGACTTTGAAAGTCCTACCCGCACATCTTAGAAACTTTTATCTGACCCTAAACAACTTGGTCCTGAGGTTGGGTGCCATCGGTGCTGCTTCGGCTTCCTTACTGTGACTCAGCGGAGCATCTGGGTGAAAGGAAGGTTAAAGGTGCTAAGTCCGATGTAGAGATCGCAAAAATTTGCTAATACTGGTAGTGTGCCCTTATGCAGTCCATTCTAATCATGTGAGATTCTACCCCAAAGTCCACTTGGAGTTTTAAAGCGCCTTATAATGGCCTTTTGTTGTTTTGAGCTGAGGGCTTAATATAGGGGCCTGAATAATGAGAATAGGGTTTTGGGACCCATTATACCATCTGTGCAATCGGGAGCCCCCAAAATAGTATTGGCAACTATTTCGGCCCGTGTGTGACCTTCAATCACGGGCCAGCCTCGGGTTCTCAAAACACGGGCCTGAAGCAACCGTCGCAGCTTTTGGGTTTAATAGGGGCCTTAATATCTACCTAAACTATTTTCGGTGTTCCTTACTATATGATTATACAATACAGGACCCCAAAACCTTATTAAGATTATCAAGGGCCCTATATTACCCGCCTGCAGTTTATATGAGAAGCACACTAGACCCTACAACCCTGTTAGATTAGCTCAGGCCCGGATATGAGAGAGCTGTCCCGCATAGTAGGGTTTATACATCCGCTTGGTTGATTTTCTGCAATGTTCGTTTTGAAAGTCTGTCATTGTACATCTTCGCTACATCACAGGGGGTTCCAGGAGCTGGCAGTCGGAGCTAGCAGATGCTCGTCCGGGCGTCGGTGGAGCTTTCGTTCATAGCAAGATGTTGAGGGACTTGAACTCTATACTCTACGCGCTACGTTCTATGTTATGAGAAACTACGTGATCAGTGTTTATTCCAAATGCACGATGCTCTTCTTTTACATGTTGGTCAGATGGTATGCAGTGCCGCAATCCACCGAGGCTCTTGTACCCGCTGTACACCTTCTACTTTGTGAGGACCAGACTTTGCTCATCTGCTCCGGGCTTTATGCTCGAAGCTTATATGACGGCCAGAGGTATTCCTTAGGTATCAGGCTTCCTTCTTATAAGTCTGGTGTAGTATGCCACCAACCCCTACTCTAATTGGCTTGCTCATCGTCGTGAGGAAGTACAAGGGGCAAATGCCCTACTATCCTGGAGACGGGCAAGAGCAGCGCGGAGCTTACGAAGTAGCAGCGATGCAACCCTGGGCCGGTCAGCAAGATGAAAGCCTCTTATTCTGCGATCGCAGACTCGAGTTCCCGCAGGTTTAAACTTTAAACCCCAAAGCCCTACAAAGCCTATGGACCCTACAAAGCCTCCCAGGCTTTATAGGACCTAGGAACTTACTCTCCCATGTCTCCCAGGTTCGTGGATTATGTCCTGGAGAAGACCGATCCGGCTGTCATGTCTGCCATGGTAAATACGGCCGGGTCAGGGCCCCTTGGGTGGGGGGGGGATCCGGGTTAGAGGGGACCCGGGTTAAGGAAGCCTAGAGAGTTCCTTTTTGGGGGGTTTAGGGTTTAAAGGATCTTAGGGGTTCGGAGATTTAGGGTTTAGGAGTTTAGGGGTTTAAATAGGGTTTAGGCATTTAGGGTGGATCACCTCGAGCTTTCAGTGGGTTTCGGGCTTTGTCCGCAGTAAGGAGTACGACACAATATTAAATTGCAGGGGTTTGTCCATCAGCAGTATCAGCTGTATGTTTCCGGATGGGGTAGGAAGAGTCGTTGAACAAACTTGTCGGGCCTCATTCTCTTTGGACGAACCCAACAGGCATTGCTTCGAAACCCTTGTTCCCTGTTTCCAAACTCCTGCCCCATTGTTGAGAGACTCAGGTCGTTGGGCACGAGCCAAACACTCTGCCAAGTAATCGCCATGCAAACCCTAAACCCTAATCCCTAAACCCTAATCCCTAAACCCTAATCCTTAAACCCTAAACCCTAAACCCTAATCCCGAAACCCTAAACCCTAAACCCTATAAACCCCAAGGCCAAAAGATTCAGAGCCTTTTCGCTTCAATCTCATGCACCAAGGAATCTGAAGGCTGCTGCGACAGAAGAATGATGACGTAAAGAGGAAGCTTCACTTCGTCAAGAGAGGCTGTGACGGTGTGCCATTGATGTGGCAGCATGCGGATGTGGCCGGCGTCAGCAACAGCATCTTCCTGGTGCTCCTGGCTGTGGAAGCCGAACTTTCGCGCACCGGAGGCAGCCACTGGAGCCTTGACTTCAGTTTTCTTCTTCGCAGCCTCCCAGTTTGTCTACGGGGTGTGACCTTGTGTGCGTTGACTTTGTGTAGTTCCGACACTTCGATTGTCGTGCTACCACTTTACGACTTACTAGCCGTGTGCCTATAGTGGTTCCATATTTCTCCTACCCTTGTCAAAACATGTCTAAAACTACAGATGTATATAGGTTAATGGTGCTTTTCTTGCCTCGTTATTTATTCTTGACCTCTTGTTGTTGCTGTCATTGCTGCGATGACTATTTCCGCCGTGCAGAGATGTTCTCAGGGCAGCGTTGGTGGTGGGGAGTCTTTGGATCGACAAGGTTGACCCTAAACCTAAACCCTAAACCCCTAAACCCTAAACCCCAAACCCCTAAAGCGGGCCTGCAGTTTCAGGGATTCTTGTGCTGGTTTGGGTTTAGCGTATCGGCTTTGTGGTTTAAGGCTGGGGATCAGGGCTTCTAAGACTGAAGTGAGAGAAAGATATGCTCCTGCTTGGCTTGAAGCTACTGCTCCTCCTGCTGTTGCTGCGATCCTGCTTCTTTTGGTTTGGTTAGTTGCAGTTTATACTCAATAAAGAGGAGCACTAAATCAATACCAACTTATTACGGTGACTTTCGCATCAACATGATGCAACGTTTACAGCTTAATGATGCTGCTCCTGCTGCTCCCCGCGGATCTTGTCTTTTGCCAGCGCACGTAACTTCAAAGTGAGGCTTAGGCTTCTAATGGCTTCTCAATGTTCAATTTTGGGCTTGCATAATGACAACATCAAAATTCCTCAGTGTTCCTTCTCTTATAGCTTACAGTGATTTATAGTATACCTATAGTATACAATACCCCGCAGCTTTATTCTGATTAATCAAGGCCCCTACAACGCGTTTTCGTCATGACGCTTCTTACAGAGGAAGCTTATGGGCATTGACAGCCTGAAAAACCCTAAAGCCTGTAAGCCCTTTCAGACTTGTTTAAACCTTAAACCTTTGTGAGAGCCTTTATAAGCGTCATAAGAGCTATACACCCTAAACCCTCACACTGCAACCCTTATTGAAGCCTCTATAAGCCGTATACAAGACTATCCCCATCCGGAGGCTTCCAACGCTCAGGAACCCCGAGTCGGTTTTACCATACTTGGAGGATCCTGGGACTTAGTAAGTAAGGTTCTGAGTACCCTAATTGGGGTTATAATTCTAGTTACCTTATTTATAACCCTAGTTACTTAGTCCCATGATCCTCCAAGTAGTCAAGAGCCTTCAGGCTTCTTACGGTACCCAGAGACTCCAATATCCTTTAATTGTAAGGAATATTCCTTAAATTATAGTAGGATCCTTAATATGATTTAAGGTATATTCCTTAATTGAGGGATATTGGAGTCTCTGGGTAGTATATCCTCTCGAATTCCCAAATGATTGTAACCCAAAGAGTTGCCCAAGAAAGCCACACAGGCATGACTTGATAGCAACCTCGCCGAGGAACGGCCCGCAACTCTGCATTCTTCGACTTGCTGTCCGTCGCAAGCCGGCGCGGAGGCGGCCAGAAGTAAAATCAGGCATAACCTATAGTTTTTCTAGGTTATTAGTAATATGGAATTTATAGGGACCCTACACGAAAATAGTTCAAGGTAGGGCTAAGAGTAGCTGTGGGGTTGGGTTTGACAGGATTGGGGATGATAGAACTCAAAAGCCAGGCTCAGGTGCGGTGCAGGGTGTAGGGATTGGTTTAGGGATTAGCTTGGGGGGGCTCGGGGTTTAGGGTTGAGGGTTTCTTCTCCGTTTTGCATACTGTCTGACCTTAAACCACTGGTATGCGCATGTCGTGGACGTGTGGCATGACGACCATCTGATACTGACTTCAATGTTTCCAGGGTTTTATGTGCACGTCGATATCGAAACAAGAGGTTAAGATGCTGGCTTAGGTCTATCCTGAGCTTGTACTTTAAGCATCGTCAGATCGGATTCAGTCACAGAAGCCCCGCCCTGCAATTTGCCTCTCCGCCTAGTTTCCTTTCAAGGATGGCTTTCTGACGGCCAGCACGTGTGGTCAGCTGCGGCACCTGGTGAAGATTCGATTTCCATGCAGCTGACACTGGCCTGAAGAGTCTAGATTGGTGCACAAAGTGGCACTTGTAGCACTGTCAGTCTACAGCACGACGCTCGACCTGCTCATGCAGTTTTTGTGTGATCTGCATTCCTTGGAGAGCGACGCAAGAAAAGAGCATGTGTGTTATCGGTTTCGGCCGGAGGTTCTCGCAATTGCGTAGCTTGCCTAGTCAGTCACGCTTGCAAAGAAGGTCGGATCTTCTGCAACATTCAACGAATTGCAATTTGTGCTTCAGCTCCGGAGAATGTGCGCCAAAGTAGAGTCGAGTCGGCCCACAAAAAGCTTCGCGGTGCTGATCGCATGCGCATTCCTGCCACACGTTAGCTGTGCGTCCTGGACCGGGCCCATCATGTGTTTTCGACGGGAGGGTGCCTGAAGCGCTGTTCACCGTGACGGACTGAGCTGAGTGAAGCTTGAATCATGTAGACATCGTGCGAAGGGCTCTTTACCTCAGCGAGGCATCGCGACAGCCGACTTTGCCATACTCCATCACGTCCTCTGGTCGGGTCTGGCGCCCTAACAAGACTCGCTAACCTTTGCACAAAGCGCAAGCGCACAGCATTTGGCAGCTCCTTGCATGATCATTTTGCCAATCACATGTAGCACCTGGAGTTCGGGATATTTCGGGATGACGGACGGACTGCCTGACCAACGCGCGACACACTTTGCGCCTGTGCTACTGGTGTGACACAGGCTGCATGCCGGTGGTGTACACTGCAAGGTGGTGCAGACACGACGAGGTCGCGAAAGCAACAATTCCGAATGATCAGGCTCGCTTTGCCTGACGAGCGGACGTGTTTCCTCAATAGTTAGCCGCCAGGTTCGGGGTCCATCGTTTCCTTGCTGCCTCCTCGCCGACTCCTAGAAGAGGGCCCGCCCCTCGCCATCAGAATGCCCCGATGGCATGAATCCGCACCTGCACTTTGACAGTCGTGGACTTTGCGGCTTCCCAGGCCAGTGAGGATGTGCCACCCCTTGCGCACCACCCTTTTGGCCCTTGGGGCCGACAGCTCCGAGACGCCTTCGCCAGCTTGGATGCTCACGATGCCTCTGCCGTGTTGTGCCAGCGTTGCAATAATTTCGGACACCGCCACCTTTCATCAAAAAACCCACTGATTCTGCCTCCCTTGCTCGATGATGCTGGCGGCATTGAAGTTGTCCATGGTGTCGCCGGCCTGAGCAGCATTAACTGTTGCCTTAAGCAAACCTGCAGGAGGCATTCGGAGCATCGTCGTTGGTGCTTTGCTCCGGAGGCTGGTCGCTCACCGTGCTATCAGTCGATGGGGTGGGGCCCTCGACATAATAAGCAGGCATGTCATGCTGACAGCCCTCCGCAACACGCCGGATGCCAATGCCATCCTGCCATTTGTACGGCTTTTCTACGGCTCGCCATCCGAGTTTGCTCCCAAAGCATGCTGCAGGCAGAGTGTTGCGAACCAAGGTGATCCGCTCGTGCCGGCCCTTTTCGCACCGTGGCCCCGCCCTGCGTGCTATATGCACGCCGACCTCGTCCCCGACGGGAGTGTCGGCTCGTTCGCGACGACACATCAGCCCTGTCACACTGCATTCCTGCTGCAGCGCCTTGAGCAACACCTGCTTTCCCATGCGCACATCCAGTTCAACGCCGCCAGAACCCGTGTTTGGAATGCAGCCAGGATCCGCCCCGCCGGACCCCCGCCGCAGCCCAACTGCATGCCGGACCATGTGGGCCTCGTGACGGGTTCGGCACAAACGAGTTCGTTGCGGCGTACTCTCGCAACCTCTCAGCGCAGCACCGCGCTCTGCGCGAGTTTTTTTCCCGACCTTCATGTCGCCTCGTTGTTTCGCGTGTGCCGCGCCAGCCCGCGCGCACAATCCATGCTCCGTGCCGTCCCGCCAGTCGGTCGCGTGCACACCGCCCTCCCCACTTGCCCTTGCGCCTTGATTCAACTGTTTGTAGTGTTCTCCTGCTCCGGCGTCTTACGAATCCTAATGCATCGGGTGGTCACCGGGCAGCCTGCCCACGTGCTGGACCCCCCCTCGGTCGAGGCATTCCGCTGGAGCAGCGCATCTGCAGAGAAGCCAATGTTCTTAATTCTTCGCGGTCTCAACATCCGCAGTACCACTAAACCTACGAGTATTGGTAGTACTACTAATACTGCTAGTACTATTCGTACTACTAGTACTACTAGGACTAGTAGGATTTATATTATTGCAGCAGCAGCAGTAGCGGTAGCAGCAGTTGCAGTAGCAGTAGCAGTAGTAGCAGTAGCAGTAGCAGGCGTAGTCGTAGTCGTGGTCGTGGTCGTGGTAGCAGTAGCAGTAGTGGTAGTAGTAGTAGTCGTCGTCGTCGTCGTAGCAGTGGTAGTAGTAGTAGTAGTAGTAGTAGTAGCAGTAGTAGTGGTGGTAGTGGTGGTAGTAGTGGTAGTGGTAGTGGTAGTAGTAGTAGTTGTTGTTGTAGTAGTAGTCGTCGTCGTCGTCGTCGTAGTAGTAGTAGTAGTACTAGCAGCGGCAGTAATAGCACTCGTAGGAGTAGGAGTAGGGGTAGGAGTAGGAGTAGGAGTCGGAGTCGGAGTCGGAGTCGGAGTCGGAGTCGGAGTCGGAGTCGGAGTCGGAGTCGGAGTCGGAGTCGGCGTAGGAGTAGGAGTCGGAGTCGGAGTCCGAGTCGGAGTAGGAGTACGAGCAGGAGTACGAGCAGGAGTAGGAGTAGGAGTAGGAGTAGGAGTAGGAGTAGGAGTAGGAGTACGAGCAGGAGTAGG